CTCGTCAGCTGGGAATATGGGAATCATGAGTCGATATTTGAGAATAGTACGATACTCCACGGGAGACATGTGATGGCCAAGCCCATCTATAGGGATAGCCAGAAGAAAATCTTGAGCATGTGGTGCACGTAAGCACTGGAAAACCGCTTTCTGCCGAGCCGTCATGTCGAGCATGTGGTGCACGTAAGCACTGGAACTACTCTTAATTTTATCTATGTGACAAAGGTTTGAACCATCGATCTTAATGAAAAATAACAACACTTATACCGCTGGATAGAAGACCTTTTGTTACTATTTTTATGTAACATATTATGTTGGGTTGTATATCAAATATGAAGAAACAAATAAGGGATTTGGTCATTTTGGTGTTATACATGAGATATACTTTAATTTGATTTTTTCATGTGGCTGTATTTATATTTATTTTTATTAATACAACAGTTCGTTGAATTAGAAGAAGAAATAAAATAAATTAGGAGATTCTAAATTGTGTAGCAGCTATACATGTATGCTGAAAAATTATAAGCCACTATTGTAAGGCACTCCCGTCTGAGGCAGAAATTCATCGGCAGGAATGAAACTTGAGGCCGTGAAATTAACTGCATCCGTAGCGTTTATGATGTGGAATCCAGGCCAAGTAACTCTCCCACTAGTGTCCGACCCGGGACCTGAATTATCAAACTCTGCGTAGTACGATGTATTCAACGCAAAATCACCAGACCATTCCCGCCATCCCACTGCGTCGATCAATGTATCCATGAACGTCTTTATGTAAACTGTTCGTGAGTACTCTTTCCATGGTCGTCCTAAATAGGTCCTGGTTGAACCCAAGTCTTCAGCGGCCCGAATATTACAATTTTGGATTGAGGTCCCGGTGTTCTGTCCTGGGTCTGTTCTGCCCTGTGCTGTAATGGCATTGAATTGACCGGACATAGGTGATCGAGGGTAGAGATTACAGTTTTGGAAAACTACAGCGGCGTTCCCGAATATGAAATCTACAGTGCCGTAAATGTCGCATTCTCTGTAAAATTGACGGAGGGAGTGTGTGTATAATGTGTCTTGGTAACCTTCGAAGCTGCAGCTGTAGAATGTCGATAAATCGGCTCCGTTTCGTAGTGCTACGGCTTGATGCTTTATTGCTCCGGCGGTGTTACGGATTGTTATGTTCACCGCCACGAAATTCGGCGCAGTCACGACTGCAAACATTAATGAAATTAATGTCAATTTAATTCGATTGTGCTAAAAATTTGAGAATATATATATATATATATATATATATATATATATATATATATATATATATATATATATATA